GAATAATAAGGTGTGTCCAGACTTCTATCCCGTTATGCCTGGGATTTCAGTTTTTAAGGTTTCTCTGGGATCCTCTTGGCTAAGAGGGGGTCTATTCAGTCAGTCAGAGGGCTTAGGATTTTCTTTCCTCAGTAACTAGGAAAATGCTAATTAAAACTATATGAGCTGAAGGCAACAGGTGTCAGGGGGGATGTCAAGAAATTGGAACCCTTGTGCACTGTTGGTGGAAATGCAAAATGGCGCAGCTGCTATGGGAAACGGTATGGAGGTCCCTCAAAAAATTAAAAATAGAACTACCATATGATCCAGTAATCCTACTTCTGAGAAATTATCCAAAATAACTGAAATCAGGATTTCAAAGATATTAGCACTTGTATATTCATTGCAGCATTAATCACAATAGCCATAATGTAGAAACAACCTAAATGTTCATTGACAGGTGAATGGATAAAGAAAATGTGAGATATACCTACAACGGAATGCTCTTCAACCTTAAAAAAAAATTCTGTGATATATGACAACAGGGATGAACCTTGAGAATGTTAAAAAAACAAATACACACAAAAAAAAACAACACCAAGTCAAAAACAGGGAAAACTAAATTAAATCATTTAGGCATGCATACTTAGGTGATAAACAGATAAAACAAAGCAAACGAGTAATTTCATAAAGGTCAGAATAGTAGTTACCTCTAAGGAGAGAAAAGAGTTAGATGCAGGCATTACAGGAATGGAGGTATTGGAGGATAGTCTTAGGATGCTGGAAATGTTCTATTTCTATCTAAGGAAGTGTCATATTTCACCAAGAAAAAAAAAAAGATTTAAAAAGAGTGACCACTAAAAGACTGATTGGAAGCTCTGTGGTTGTGGGTAGGGTTCAGCTACTGGTGAACTTTACCGTGGGGTGATTGATTTTGTTCACTGCTGAATCTAGTCCTTTGAACAGTTTTTACTTGTAGCAGGTATTTAGCAAAAAGTTTTTAAATGAATGGACGAATGCTTTCAGATACATCTTGTTTGTTGATAAGAACCATCTGTGCCTCACTGACCAGAATGTAGCATGTAGGAGAAGCCCGGGGGTGGTCTTAGGTTCCCCAGAACTTTAGGGCTCCCTAGATTGGCAGACTTGACTGAGAGTTCAGTCTGCTGCTCAATAGGTCTCTGAGGTAGCCCAAGGGAATTGTACTAAGACAAATCTTGCTGTACCTCATAGGTATATTATTGATACTAAATAAACCTTTTTGTTCGCTTCTGCTAAAACTCGTGTTAGGTAACACTTTGACTGCAAAACAATAAACCTTTACAGCAGGGATTATTATACCCATTTAATAGATGAGGACTATGGTGGACACAGTTCATTTTTCCATCCATTCAACTTATCTTCCGTTGTGTAGCAACTAGACCAATGAATAAGATTTACCTCCACTCTCAATTTCAGAGGTGGGCTTTGATTAGTTGAGAAGAGGAACTGGCAAACTTTTTTCTAAAAGAGGCAGTTGGTAAATATTTTAGACCTTGAAGTCGTAAGATCTCTGTCCCACGGACTCAACTCTGCCACTGTAGTATGAAAGAAGCTGTAGATAATGCACACACAAACAAAAATGTCTGTGTTCCAAAACAGCTTTATTTATGAAAACAGGTAGAAGGCCAGATTTCGCTCATGGCCCATTGTTTGCTGATCCCTGGCCTAAAGCAGCCTTTCTCAGCCAGGATCCTCACCTGAACCACCCAACACAGAAAACTGGTGGAGTGAAAACACTCAATTTTCCCAACAATGGCACAGACTCTAGGGCAGTGGTTCTCAGAGTGTGATCCAGAGTCCTGTGGCATCAGCATCACCTGGCAACTGGGTAGAAATAAAAAGGCTCAGGACCCACCCCTGAATCAGCAACTCTGGGAGTGGGGCCCAACAATCTGGGTTTTAACAGCCCTCCAGGTGATTCCAATGCCCACTCAAGTTTGAGAATCACTCTTTCATACCGAGCCTAGAGTTTAGAATCATCAAGAAAATTTCTTCCCACCTGCCACAACTAAATCCAGGAATGTAGCTAATCAGGAAGTGGGATTTCCATTGGGGAAAGTGGGATTGGTTTAGGAGCGATCTAATACTAGGGAAATTTTCAAAATACTTAACAACCAGCATAGCAAGGGCCCCAACCAATCAGAATGGATGCTAGTCCTAGAGCATAGTCCTTTCCTTGCAGAAGCATGAAGTCATTCATAGGGTTCTGGGGGAGGAGCCAGAGGGGCCAGGGTAGGGGAGAGACATTTGAGGAGCAAATAGCTAGTGGGTACTGAAGTAGTTATTTGCCAACCATAGCAAAGCGTTTAACTATGTTAATAACCGGATCAGCTGTGCTAATGCACACCAGCAGCAGAGCTGCCCAGGCTCAACCAGCACAAGCCTCAACTTTAACTTCAGTGACTGCAGAAACAGTGCCTGCTCGCCCTGTGTGTGATAAAGTGTGTAGTCCATAAGATACTAATCTAAAGATGAAGGCAACACAGGGTTAGTACAGGAGTACACAGCTGAGAGCAATGGCGCCGCTTCCCTGAAGGAGCCATTCCCAAAGCTCATCCTACTTCTGGATGTTCCAATTATATGACCCAGTTTGAACTGAATTTTCTAACATTTGCATCTGCAGGCATTGTATCTGAAAAAGCGAACACGAGGCCCAGAGAGCTATTACAAGGAAAACATATTTCTAAGGGCCAGACCAAAATGTTCCCCTTTCTTCCTGAAGTTCTGGGTAATACAGACCCTCCCTTCTTCATCAGGGTTTCCAGCCAGGAACCGCTCAGGCACCCTTCTCCCCAGTTGTGTGTTGGGCCAGCTGCAATGCTTGTTTATTAGTGAAATGCATCTGATCAGAGAGGCCCGCCTGACAAGTTCATTACATATCAATTTAATTAGCTGATTTACATTTAATTTACATTTCAATTAATGTCTTTAGCAACAAAACGCCGCCTTAATAGGGTAATTGCCTGTTAGGCAATATGTAAAAGAATAAATAGTTGCATTCTGAGGAAGAATTCCTATTTTCAATTTTTTATTACCATAAATAACTGAAATAATTATTGCTCTTAAGGGCCGCGTCCTCGTTTCCTTCTGGGCCTAATTATAAAGACTTAGTACCTCATTAAGCAAAATGGTTTTAGAGTCACAGAAAAACATTACTCCAATCGTGACTCATTAGTTTCAACAAAAGAGGGGAAACTGTGATAGTAGGCACATTTGGGGTAATGGGGAATTTAACTTAATACAGACAAGCCTTCTCCTTTCTGGGCCACACCTTCATAATGCGGAAGGTGTTTTATCCTGCACACCTGTTAGGATGTTGGTCTGAGGGGCACTCAAACAGCCTATTTAAAGTATTTCTAGAGACAAGAAGCTCACTACATATTGAGACAGATATTATAGAAGTTTAAAATTTATTTTTTAACTATTCCCTTTTTTGAGACAGGGTATCACTCTGTTGCCCAGGCTAGAGTGCAGTGGTATCATCATAGCTCATTACAACCTCCTGGGCTTAAGTGATCCTTCTGCCTCACCCTCCCCAGTGGCTGGGATTATAGGCAAGCACCACCACACCTGGCTAATTTTTTCATAGAGATGGGGTCTTGCTGTGTTGCTAAGGCTAGTCTCGAACTCTTGGCTTCAAGCAATCCTCCCACCTCTGTTTCCCAAAGTGCTAGGATTACAGCAGGTTTGAGCCACCATGCCCGGCAGAGCTCTGGGTTTAAAAGTTCTTTCTTATGTTAAGATAAACTCTGTCCCTTTCTTAAAGCAATTGTAGTAGGGGCCTGCTAGAGAAGATGTTTTGCCAGGGGTATAATTACCATACAATGATAATTGTGTAAGAAGGGAAACTGTCACAGAATAGACAGGAGCAGGAATGAGCTGGGAGCTACTGTGAAAGAAAGGGCACATGGTCTGAGAAATGGGGGGGGGGGAGACTCTGTATTTTGAGAGTTCAAAAGATAAGACTGGCATACACCCTGCAAGGATACCAGGGGAGAGCAAGGACAGAGATGTGGGTCTGGGAAGAGTCAGAAACCAGGGTAGCAGTGCTAATGGGACTGGCTTGTTTCTTGAAATGCGGCTGTGTCTCTTCCAAGAAGTTGTATTACTGGAAAATTTGCTGAAAGAGCAAGTAACAAGAACTGGAAACTTTAGGGACCAAGGGTGGGTGGGGTCTCTTTAGGGTAGGGCGACCCTTCCTCCAGGAACCTTGGCGATCTTTACTGCGGGCTCCGCAGTGGGCCTGCAGCGTGTTTTGTACGCTGTTGGGCTCTCTTCAACAGTGCCACCACGTGGGGGCAGGCTGCAACAGCAGGACTGAAACACGAGCCTTGTTCTGTAGGATTCTTGGGCAATCAGAGGAATGAGAGGACAACTCAGGAAAGAGGTACTGGACTTCAAAAAAAAATCATATGAGAGGTGAGGGAAGAGGGAACTTAGTCAGAAAAAAAAGGACTATATATGCACCTTAATATTTTGGGAGCATTCGTTCCAGTTCTATGACCACTGGTCCTAGCTTCCCTTTCTCTCCTACTCAGCGCCAGTGTGCTCCATGTCTGTCCTTCAGGTGTTAAATGAGGGGATTTAGACCCTCACTCCACCTTGGCTAGTTCCTAAATCACATTTCCAAGGTAAACACCTCCAATCCCTTGCAATCACATTTTTTTTTTCGTTTTTCTTTTTTTAGGATAAGATTTTCAGATCCATGACACCTGAGCCGCGCTAGTCTGGCTTGTTGATAGACTTTTAAAAACAGATACAAAAGTCTGATGACAAACTACAGAATTGGTCAGCACAGTTCAGGGTAAAGGCGGCTATCAGGATGGCAGCAGCTGGTTCTCACCAGCAGGGGGCGTCTGCAACTACTCTTGTTTTTCCGGGTTTATAAGACTCAAGCCTCCTTTTTCATAACAAACATTTTATAACATTTTCTTTTCTACATAAAATTCTCAGAAAATATAATTTGCCTACACATTCAACTTTTAAAAATATATACAATATAATAACTGTAATATAAAAGAGAAATAAAAGGGAAGTAACATGCTGTACAATAATATGTATTTCCATATCTAAATGTTCTGGCACAACTACATAAAAAGGCTTAATGAAGTAGTGTATGCTTTCATCTCTTCATAAAATTACCCAAATGTGAGAACTGTAAATGCTAACTGACTCAGTCAGGATATTGAATTGTTGATTCAAATAATACCACTAACTGTGAGTGATATGCTTTTCTAACTCTTGTACAACTCTTGGTAGAGTTCTGAACAAAACAAAATCAAGTCTTCTCTTGATTTAAAAGGAAGTTGCATTCCTGGAAATTTTCTCTGTGTTCAAACCAGTGGCTCATGTTTGTAATTCCAGCACTTTAGGAGGCTGAAGCAGGAGGATTGCTTGAGCCCCGGAGTTCGAGATCCACCTGGGCAATGTAACAAGACCTCATATTCATAAAAAGTTTTTTAGAAAGTTAGCTGGACATAGTGGCATGTTCCTGTAGCCCCAGCTTCTTGAAAAGCTAAGGCATGAGATCTCTCTCTCTCTCTCTTTTTTTTTTTTCAAAGTTCTTGAAGGAAGCAAGAGATCTCTGGAGCCCAGGAGTTCAAGGCTACAGTGAGCTATGATTATGCCACTGCACTCCACTGTAGGTGACATAGCAGGACCCTTTATTTAAACAAACAAACACAATTTTAAAAAAGATTTTGAGTTTATATGTGAAATGAAATTAGGTTGTAAACTCAGATATTTATAAACAAGTTTTTAATCTCTGAGAGTATGTGAAGAGATAAGATGTGGGGTTGCTGTTTGATTCTTCATTGAGTAGGAATGCCTGGCATTTGTGAATCTTGCCCACTGTCTTCCAGAGACATCACTTAATTGTGTGACAGTCATTTTTAGATGGCCCACAAATTTCTGAAACACCTACAGATGAAATCAGCCTCTTACCTTCACAGAGAATCACTTGCCTAGAGCACTGAAGATTTATGCCTCTGTTTCCCTTCCTTGAACCTCAGTTCCTTTTGAACTAGGATTTCTGTCCCAAGCCTCAACTTCCTGTTTTACTCTTATCAGTGCCAGTGGCCTGGGGATGTCCAACTGGTCCTGTTCCTATATTCTTAGCTGTTCCTTACTGTAGATTCCTCAGGGCTACCATACAAAATGTCATCACACTCTGAAGATCGTGCAAACTACTCTTCCTTGGTTGCAGCCTTCTTTATATCATGAGAGGGTCCTACTTGTCCACCTTGGTGCTGCAGCCCCTGTGACAGTGTCCCCGCTCTATTACCTGGCACTCACTACTGTGTGCTCACCGGCCTGACTTCCAACAGCCAGTACCTGTGATTCTCTGCTTCTTCTACCTCCTGGAGCCCCTCTGCTCACATGGCAGGCTAGAAGGGCCAGACTTAAGTCTCTCAAACAATGGCAGATGGGGATGGGTGGATAAAGACTCCAGCCAGATTCATCACCCCCTGGGCGGGATAACCGAGGTATATGCTCTAAGCTGGCTATCAGAGTTCCTTGGTGGGACTGTGCTCCAGTTGCCTGTGGTGGAAACTTGCTTGACAGCACACCCTTTAGTGCCCTTCCTTCTCTGCATTGTGTTTCCCAGGATCCCATCCTCAGTAAACTACTTGTACTCAAATAATTGTCTGAGGGTTCTGAGTGATCCCAAGCTGGAACTCTGAGAGAGCAAAACTTCCAGGAATCCTGTCTGTGTAAGGACTCATAGATCTTCCAGGAAGAAATGGCAGGCAGGACTTTGGGGCCTGATGGCTAAGCCCAGATGGCTGGCACTGGGATCCTCAAGCAGATGGGATCCCACAGGATACTCTCAAGCAAAACTTATGGGTTTTCAAGGAATGCATCCTGAGGAGGAGGCCCATGACTCCTGGCTTGGAATTTTTATAGGCTTGTGGGTTGGCAGGGAAGAATCATGTTTTGCACTTGATTCTGGGTGCTACCATTCAATTGTCTTCTGACTTGGCCTGGATGACATGACCCACACTCATCAAGAATGAATATGAACATCAGAAAGGGCATTTACCTTTGGCAAACTTTATAAGTAGCCATTTTCAGCAGGTTGCCAGACCCTCTGAAGTCTGGCTGAGGCAGATGATTTTGCTGGCTAGAGAGACTCTTCCCTTCAAGGATCCTTCATAGGAAGCGCAGTCTAAGGGTGACAGCAATGGCAGTAGAGGTGCAGGTCACTATCCTTCTTTTGCCATGGTAGTAGCACCAATTGACAAATAAGGCCCTAAAGAGGTGGAGTGGATGGAGCATGACTGTGGTACCCATGGTCAGATGGCTTCAGTGGCCCTTAAGGACACTCTTATCCACTCGACACCGGTAGGGAGGGGAGGGATCTGGGGGAAGCCTCTGAAGTCCCAGTGGCCTTGCCAAGTGGGGTCTATGCTCTCATTCATCAGCAGAGCTGGGTTGCTGTGCTCTGACGGAGCAAGGGTCACATTTGCTTCGGTTAGCGCATTCCAAAGCTGCCCTGTAACTGCAAAGTAGACGGGGGCTTTCTTTTCCTCTTTATAGTTTATTGGCAGAGTATCAAATGTTTTATAGGGCAAACGCTGCCATCCGCCCAGCTGTGCTCAGCGGTTACTACTAGCAAGGATGTTTCAGCTGGGACTCACACTAGGGTAACTTCGGGTTTAAAAGGCTGCCTCTGAATGCTTCTCTTCATGCCCTTTAAATGTTGCAAATCAAAGAGGCACACAGGGAAGCTTGATGATTGGCAAACTTCTTGCTGTAGTGGTGAGAATAAAGCCCCTTGTGTGGCTGACACAGCTAGGGGTGAAGAGGGGTGAGGGACACAGGCAGCTTACCCAGGAGTCCCAAGCCCCAGGACAAGCAGAGCAAATCCCCCGGCTGAGGTTCGGCCGGGCTGCTGCCGATGCCTCACCCACCACTGACAGCATAGGCTTCTTCACAGGCATCAGTGCTACGGTTTCTGCTCGCTCCTCTTCTTCCCACCTCCCCTCACTTTCACATTTCTCCATTTGGTCAGCATTCCTGGAGCGCCTGCTATGTGACAGTGCCGCCTGTGGGACAGACCAACAGATTAATTGTAGGTTCTGGAGTTTTCTTCACCCCTGACTTGCACTGGCCCCTTCCCCATAATGTGTTCACTTGCAAATGTATTTTTGTAAATTGCAAAGGGGAGGTATTTTAATGGCAGTCTTCTGAGACCCCTGTCTTTTTCCACTCTCCTTCTCATTTGCCTTCACACGTGTAGGCAATGAAGTGGCCATGGGCATTTTTGGGATCCGGCCAAAGGGGAATTGAGTTAAAGTCTGGGTTTAATGGGTTATGTTTATGTCACAGTCACTTCCAAATTTTTTCAGTATCGTTAGCCATCCCTGGTGTAGGAATGGTTTTCAGGAACACTGCTGTGGCCCCCGCTGTACTGACTTGCCTGGCACCGTGCGTGCGTGACCCACGGGCTCAAACACGGCCTTTGCAACAAAGACCTCGGTGACAAACCGGCTAACGAGTGCTGTCAAGTCCGAGTATAGTGGATTCCTACCGCACAGAAGGTGCAACGTGCCCCGAAATTTTATAGCACATAGTAAAAGAAACTTGATGGAGGCTTTTAAAACAACGGTCTGAAAAGTTTACAAGACATGACCAACAAGGAGTTGTGAAGCCAAAATAAACTTTTCTGAATTCTATAAAATAAGAACCCACTTTTGATCAATCATGCTATAAGAAAGACTGTATCGTTTTTCTGTTCTCTTGAAAGAAAACAATCTTACAAAAATTGTTGTCAAACGGAGAGGTGATCACAGAATTAACACAGAAAATACAGGGAGAAAAGTATTATAGCCACATATGAGGCAGTTAATTATCAATAAAAATATAATGTGATTTTTTGGGATTTTGAGATTGAAAAAAATTTAATTTGTGACTTATTTCCTCATTCTAAATACATATTCACTTTTATTCTTTCTCTTAAAGGGGACTCCTCAAATTATATAAGCTTGGGGCTCCACAAAATTTGGAACCACCAGGCACAGTGACAGCTACTGGGAATAGAATAGTCAAGACCTGACCCTTGGCTTTAAGGATCTCACAGACCACTGGGACAGCCTGATACAGTCGCCACCAATTACACACAGTGTCACCAGGAAGTACAGGGCCTTCACCTCACTTCTGCCCCCAACTCATTTTTTTCTATTCAGATATGATTTTAGGGTTCAACATACGTCACTTGCTCTCACAGCTGCCGCCATTCCCTACTCCCTCTCACATCTCACATCTGAGAATGAGGCATTCTTAGACCACCCACTTCTGTGCGCAAAGCACCCTGTCCTCTTTCTGACTGCACTAGGCTATCCTGGTTATGTCCTCTGAATTTCCCTGTGCATACCTGTAGAAGAAGTCTTGAAATTATTTTTCCGAACAAGCATAGTTCTTTCCAGAAGCAGAATTAGGCCATGTGCTCTTCCCCACCTGGTCCTTCTTGTCCCGCCATCCCAGTGAGTTGTGGTCTCCTAAATAGCTTTGGCAAAATGATTAGGAAATTGAGCACACATAGAAAGATTCAGTGGAAACAGGATTCATCTGCTATGAGAAAAGGGCATTCTCTCTAATCCCTGCCCTCCATGCGGAGCTCGCCTGGGTCCTGGTGGGGGTGAGAACAGTGACCAGGTGAGGGGCAGTGCCATGTCTCTACCAGGTGAGGGGCTCTTCAGGGACAAAGGCTTAGTCTTATTCTTTTCTTTATCCACTATATTCAGTGGCTCAGAGTCAATAAATATTTTATGAAGGGGAAAGAATGGGCAAGGAGGGACATTTTATAAAACAAATTTCCCCAAATCTTTCTGTATCTTCATTTCGAAAGAGTGTTCCACTTTTCTATTACACATTACTCCTTCTTCTCTCAGGCTCCAAGGAAGATGTGTTCGTCTACCTATTCAAGGCCAACCCCTCCACCTGTGCCCTTGACCCCAGACTCTCCTGAATCCTCCAGAATATAGCTTCAATAATTATCTTCCCAGATTTCTGTTTGCAGCCTTTTGCTCTACTCTCTACTGCCTCTTTCTGCTCAGCCCATGACCATACTCAAGTTTCTCCTTCCCTTAAACATGCATATGTGCATGTGTACATACACATATATACACCCTTGATCACCACCTTCTGAGCTCTGTCCCCTTAGCTGCTAACTATGAGCTTGACTTTCTCCTGCACTTGCTGTCTCCACTGCCTTATTTAGCATTCATCCCTATTCATCCATTAACCGAAACTGATCTGATGAAGGTCACCAATGACCAATTTCTAAATCTATTAGGCACTTTCAGTACTTATCCTAAAAATGTCACACAGCCTGGGGCATTGATGACCATCACCCCGCTAACCCCTGCTCTGAATCTTTTCCCTCTAATGTTGTGGTCCCCAACCCCCAGGCCATGGACCAGAACCACAGAGCTCCACCACCACCTCCCAACCCCATCTGTGAAAACATTGTCTTCCATGAAACTTAGGAAAGGACGAGGAGGGGTGGCCAAGGTGGGGTGCATAGCAGGAGGTGAGCGGTGGGCCAGCGAAGCTTCATCTGTATTTACAACCACTCCCCATTGCTCACACCACTGCCTGAGTTCCATCTCTTCTCCCAGTCAGTGGAAAAATTGTCTTCTGTGAAACCAGTCCCTGGTGCCAAAAAGGTGGGGGACTGCTGCTCTAGTGGCTTCCACAACAATGAACTCTGCTGCTTATTCCTGTGCCTACTCATGTCTATCTCCTTCACAGCCATGCAGCAAGGTGATCCTGTGAACAGAGGCTTTTATTTTTCCACAATTTTCTTTCTCTCCTTCAGAACATTCTCTCAATGTTGAAGCTATGGTGCTGTAGATTAAGAGGGCCGCTGACCGCTCAGTGTTGTATCCCGAGAAGAATGAAGGGAATGGTGAGGGAGCTTCTGAGCCATGCTGGAACAAGATGTTTGAAGCAATCAGGGCTGAGAAGCCTGGAGAAGAAAAGATGTCATGGGGACTGGAGGTGGGGCGGGGGGGAGGGGCGGGGGGGCGCTAATGGGTCCTAAGCAGCTGCAAACCATCAAATGGCCATTGAGTCGAGTCTTTGAGAAGGTAAATCTTGTCTCATTGTAAAAGAGAACTTCATAACAGTCATTGCCATGCAATAGTGGAAAAAAAGGAGCCTCATATTGCCAGGGCCTTGATATCGCATATGGTATTTTTGTGTGAATTGGGAAGAGGTGCTTCTTTCTCTAGCTGGTCAAAATGGCACTCTGGCCCCACCTGCTTGCTACCTTGGACAGGTGCCCTGTGCAGAGCAAAACCTGCACTGTCTTATGTAGCAACTCTGCAAAGGCAATGAACTTTCTGTCACTGGAAGTATTCAACTAATGACAGCATGGTAATTTATCTTGGTTCTGTAGAGAGTCCTTCTTATAGTCCTATATATGATTATCTAACCCTGGCTAAGAAGATGTGCTAGAGACAGGGAGAGGAAGGCAAAGGGGGGAAAAATGGAGTGGGAGGGGGAGAGAAGGAGAGAGAGAAAGATGGAGGGGGAGAGAGATGAAAGAAACGGAGCTGGAGGGGGAATGGAGAGGGAGAAAGAGATTGATCGTTTCATTCTTTTATTCAAATATTCCCAAATCCAGCTGAATCTTCCCTGGTTTATGAGCAAATAATTTCTACTTGTGTCTGCTACCACATATTAATCCCTATTCCCATCCTATTATTTTCTGTCTTGTTTGCTGTTTGGGTCCCAATTTCGTTCCAAGTGGCACAAACCATAATTAGTCTATGTATGTGGTTGTCAACCTGGCTACACAGTGGAATCACCTGCAGAGTTATATATATATATATATATATTCAGAACCTTTGGAAATGAAGGGGTCATCTGCACTTTTTGAATGTCCCTGGGCAATTCTAGTCAAGACTGAGAACCACTGATTTAAGCCAGTCATAAACATCCTTTTCCCATTTGTGAGATGTTCTACCTCTAGCTTCCCTACACCTGCATGAGGCTATGTGACCTAGCAAACAGTGGTCTGTTTGGAGGCTTCTGGAAAAGCCTTTATTTTACTATAAAAAGCAACAGGTGTTTGATGCTGTCCATTCTCCTTTTTCCTGGTGTGAATGTGGGTGAGCAGCCTGAACACAACCAGTGTGAGGACAAAAATAAACAAAACCCCTCCAAACATGCTAATGACAAGGAAATGGAGAGATAGAAAGTGTCCGGGCTTTCAAACCAGATGAGCTTCTGCAGCATTCCTCTCCTGATCACTGTCAGACTCCTAGTTAAGTGAGATAATTAAACATATTTATTTTTTAAGAAAATGATAATTGAGTTTTCTATTTTCAACCAAAAGTAATTCACCTGAATATTTGATATTTTCTTATACTGAATGCTATTATGATAGAGAAGTATAGCCAATGCTAATGTTCAGAGTTTAGAAAGTGAATGTTTGTTCAATGGATTTGAGATAAATTTTTTACTGGTTGTACTAGGTTGCTAGAATTGCCACAAAAATGTACCACAGACTGAGTGGCTTAAAACAACAGAAATTTATTTTCTCACAATCCTTACAGCTAGAAATCCAAGAACAAATTGTCAGCAAGGGTGGTTTCTTCTGCGGACTTTCTCTGTGGCTTGTAGATGGCTGTCTTCTCCCTGTGTCTTCATATAGTTGTTAATGGAAAAACCAAACTCTGTAAAATATTTTAGAGGTTTATTCTGAGCTGAATATGAGTGACCATGGTCTAGGGAGACATAATCTCAGGATGTCCGGAGAAAGTGCACCCAAGGCAGTCAGGTTATAGTTTGGTTTTACACATTTTAGGGAGACAGGAGTTGCAGGTAAAATCATAAATCAATATATGGAAGGTATATGTTGGTTTGGGCCCAAAAGGTGGCACATCTCAAAACAGGGGCTTACAGGTTATAGGTGGCTTCAGAGATTCTTTAATTTGTAATTGCCTAAAGGAATAAAGTTTTGTCTCAAAGCTTGGAGTCAGTAGAAAGGAATGTTTTAAGTTAAAATAATAAAGTCTATTAATCCTAGAGCAACCCCAGTATATATACTGATTCAAAGTAATCTGTTAAGTAAATTGATGGCCTGCAGGTGTGACTTAACCTTTGCCTTGCATGGCCCCAGGTCCTGCTTATAATTTAGTATCTTATTGCTACAAAGAGTCTGTTTTGTTAGTCTTAGATCCCTACTTTAACATCAATATTGGTCAGTTGTTGTGTCTAAACTCCAAAAGGGAGCGAGTATAAGAAGGCAGGTTCGACCTCCCAACCCTTCATAGCTGGGAATTCAGTTTTAAGGTTTTAAGGTTTTTGGGGGGTCCCCTTGGCCAAGAGGGCATCCATTCAGAAGGTGGGAGGGGCTTAGGATTTTATTTTTAGTTTATATTGTCTTTCCTCTTTGTGTGTCTGTGTCCTAATCTCTTCTCCAAGGATACCAGTCATATTGCATTAGGGTCCACTCCAATAACCTCATTTAACCTTAATTACTTTCTAAAGACTCTATCTCCCAAAAGAGTCACATTCTAAGTTACTGGGAGTTAGTACTTCAACATACTTTGTTTGGGTAGATTTTGTTTGTTGCCTTTGGTTGTTGATTTTTGTTTGTCCATAGGTTTGATTCCTGGCTTAGAGGAGTGGTTCTCAATCCTGACTATAATTACCTGGAGAAGTTTAAAAAATAGAGATATCTAGGGCTCACTCCCAAAGGTTCTGATTTAATTGGTTTGGGATGGGACTAAATACATATTTAGGTGTTGTTAACTATTATCTAAGTAAGAGATGGTTAAACCAATTAAAGAAAAGCTTTTTACTTTATTCACAAAACTCAGAAATTTGAAGGAGAGGTGAGAAGCCAATCTTGTTCTGATGGACAGGAGCTGAGAGAGGAGCAACAGGAAAGGGTGGCTCTTTGGCGTGGGGGTGGGGCTGTCACAGAGCCTGTACATCTCATTCAGAAAATGGAAAAATACCCAACTCATCTCCACTCATCTTCCCTATAAGAACAAGGGGAAATAAAGACACCAAAGGCATTGGCAAGCCAGATCTCTTTGAGGAGGAATACCCAGAATGGGATGCCCAGGGTTGCTATGGGTAGGACAGTCACTTGGTGCTCATATGGCCTTATGGTTTTTTTCCCACATTCTCAATTACTAGGCCTGATCCATTTTCAGAGACTGGTATCAGAATTTAATTTTGTTGAAATTTGCAGGTGGCCTATGAAGGACTGAAAGGGACTGCTCATGAATTAAGTGTGCTAAGAAACCATCCTCAATAGACACTGCAGAGGAATTCTTCATTTCCTGAGGGCATGGCTTAAAAAGTCCTCTGAGGTCACTATTAGTGTCATGATTTTAAAATTTGTAATTTTATTTATTTGTTTATTTTTGAGGCAGGGTCTTGTTCTGTCTCCTGGGCTAGTGTGCAGCGGTGTCATCATGGTTCACTGTAAGCTCAAACTTCTGGGCTCAAGCCATCCTCCTGCCTCAAGTAGCTGAGACTACAGGTGTATGTGCCACCATGCCTGACTAATTCTTCCTATCTGGATCCTATCTGGATTCCTATCTGGATAAAGGCTGGATCCTATCTGGATTTTCCTATCTGGATTTTCCTATCTGGATTCCTATCTGGATAAAGGCTGGATCTAGCTCTTGCTCAAGCTGGTCTCGAACTCCTGAGCTCAAGCAATCCTCCCACCTATGCCTCTCAAAGTGCTAGGATTACAGGTGTGAGCCACCACACCCAACCTACTATGGCTATTATTATTGTTAATAGTCTTATCACTAACGAAGCCACTGTCTTTTTTGGAAATCAGTTTCTGTATGGAGACTGAACATGAATAAAAGACATTAAAGGTCTTTAAAAATGCCTCTCACCTTCTGATCATTTGGCCAGGGAGTCTGAGTTATGAGCATCATCACTTTGTACATGCAAAGTAGACTGCATAAAAGAAAAAAAATGCTTTAATTCATTCCCTCAAAGTATCCATCAAATGATGTAGGATTTCTGGGAAAGATTAAGAGTTTACATTTTTCACTGGACTTATTTCTCATAAAATCTCATAGGGGATAAAAGGAGGGGAAGTGCAGAAGCAGGACTATTTCTGTTTTATCTGCTACTCATGATTATAAATCATCCTGAGATATCATTAATTATAATTAGGCCATTCACAATGCTGCTATTCAGGCAAATTTTCCCCAAAATTCTGTGCTTGGGGTTCAGAAATTGGCAGCTGAATTTCTGTGTGAGGCTGCAGCTTGAAGGCTATGGCAGAGGGAACACCTTCAAACCAGCTGTTAATATAAAATGGGATAAGAATGATACATACACAGAATGACTGAACTAGTGATGCTTTTGTCCATGGCACATTGATTCAGAATAGCTCAAAGAATTCAAAGAATAGGGTAAACTCAAACAGTCCAAATCAAGTGAGATCTCAGAAGACCTCAAACTTGGACAGTGTTTATGAGAGAATGTGGAAAAAAACACAAACCTGCTATCATTGAGCCTGCTCTATTAAGCTATCATATGCTAAGTATTTCACTTTTTTTTATTCAGACAGAGTCTTGATCTGTTGTCTGGGCTAGAGTGCAATGGTGTCATCATAGCTCACTGCAACCTCAAACTCCTGGGCTCAAGCCATCCTCCTGCCTCAGCCTCCTCAATAGCTGGGTCTACAGGCACACACTACCACACCTGGCTAATTTTTTCTAAGTTTAGTAGAGATGGGGTCTCACTTTTGCTCAGGCTGGTCTCAAGAACTCCTGAGCTCAAGCAATCTTCCCGCCTTGGCCTCCAAGAGTGCTAGGATTACAGGTGTCAGCCACTGTGCCTGGCCTATTTCACTGTTTTTCACAGACTTGGTAGGCAGAATAATGATCGCCCCAAAATGTCCATGTTCTAATCCTGGAATCTGTGAATATGTTATCTTAAATGACAAAGGGTGAATTAAAATTATAGATGGAATTATGGTTGCTACTCAGCTGACCTTAGGAGCAGATTATCCTAGTTAACTGTGTGGGCTCGATGTAACCACAAGGGTCCTTAAAAGTAGAAGAGGGAGGTAAATGAGTAGTCAGAGTGACGCAACGTGAGACTTGACTTGCAATTGCTGGCTTTGAAGATGGAGGAAGAAGACAAGGAATAAGGAATGCTGATGGCCTCAAGAAGCTGGAAAGGGCAAGGAAATGGAGTCTCTCCTGGAGCCTTCAGAATGGAAACCAGCCCTGCTGACCCCTTGATTTTAGCCCTGCAAGACCAGGGTCAGACTTTTGACCTATACAAATGTAAGTTAATTCATTTATGCTGTTTTAAGCTGCCAAACTTGTGATGATTTGTTGTGGCAACAATAGGAAGTTAGTGCAGTGCTTAATGTCTCTGTGACAATAACACTAACAAAAACAATAGAACAAACAGAGAAACTATTCCAATCATTCAGAGTTTAAAACATTTGCCGATCAACTTAAAAGGTGAAATTCCTATACGGTTGTGATAACAAGCTAGTAAATATGATGAAAGATTTTTTAAAAACCTATTCTCAATAGTATAAAGAAAAAAATTACAGTTAAATACCTACAGTTAAATACTTAGGAATTAAATAACATCTCTATGGAGAAAACTTGAAAACTCTAGTAAAGGACATAGAATATAATTTGATAGAGACACATTCCATGCACTTGGATGAGATGATATAATATTAGAAAGGTGTGAATTCCCTAAATTAGTCTGTAAGCTTAATGTATCATGATCAAAATTCCAGCTGCATTTTTGAGGAACTTGATAAAATTACTCTAAAATAAAAAGAACCAAAGAAGCATCACAAACAGGTAAATCTATCTCTTAAAAAAAGGAGACTTGCCAAACAGAATATTAAGAAGAAATAGTAATAAAGCAGTGTGATATTTTTGTAAGAATAGAAAAATAGAACACTGGAACAGAATAGAAATCTTGAAGACAGAACTTTGGGCGGTTAATATATGATAAAGGCGATACCACAAATCAATGAGGGGAAGCATAGAATGTTTAGCAGACATTGTTAGGAAATCTAGTTTACTCTGTAGAACAGAAAAAGAAAACAAGAAACTGGATCCTGGATTACTATCTAACATCATGCACAAAGATTAAGTCTTGATGGATTAAACATCAAAATGTGAAAGGGAAAACTATGAATTTAATAGAAGCGTGTTTGCATTTAGGAATGGGGAGGACTTCTTAAAATATCAAAAATACAAACACAAATATAAGGCAAAAATGAAGGATTGATTTACATCAAAGTTAGGTATTTCTATTAATGAATGTATGTTTTGTACAAAGTTTACAAACATGATAAATGAGAAGATGTTTGCAATGTCTAAAACTGAATTAATTTATTAACTTAATTAACTAGAATACACAGAACTCCTGTTAAAAATACAAAAACTCCAATAGAAAAATGGGCAAAGCATATGAGCAATTTATAATGAATATAGCAGAATATATTATAAGCATATAAAGACATGCTCAGACTTATAAGTAATCTGATAAATTCAAAAGTGAGATGATACTTTATATATGTTATACTGAGGAAAACAAAAAAGCTTGATAATGCTAGGGTTGGGAAGAATGTGGGGCCACTGTGACCCCCAAACATTGGTGGTGGAAGCACAGACTGGTGTAGCACTCTGGACAGCAATCTGGAATTACTTGGTCAAACGGAGAATATTCATACTCCATCTTAATTTCTCTTACAGGCTCACACCTGTAATCCTAGCACTCTGGGAGGCTGAGGTGGGAGGATTACTTGAGCTCAGGAGTTCGAGACCAGCTTGAGCAAGAGTGAGACCCCATCTCCACTATAAATAGAAAATTAGCCAAACAACTAAAAATAGAAAAAATTTGCCGGGCACAGTGGCCCATGCCCCCAGCTACCCAGGAGGCTGAGGCAGGTGGATTGCTTGAGCCCAGGAGTTTGAGGTTGCTGTGAGTTAGGCTGACGCCACGGCACTCTAGCCCAGGCAACAGAGTGAGACTCTGTCTCAAAACAACAAACAAACAAAAAAACTAGATGAACATGTTTTGTACACTTTTGTATCTATAATGTATTTTTCAATAAAAATGATTTTTAACATGACTGGATTGGGCAATCTCTTAGGTTCTTTCTGTCTTTTATGGTCTACGGCCAGGCCCTTCACAACTGGATTTATTGTTGACCCCTCAGTAAGAGTTCAATTTAAGCAATATGCATTGAGATTCATAAACAGGTGAAGTAAACATAAAACTTTGAAGGGAAGGGGAGACACACTAAGAGAATCACAGACTAGGAGACTAGGAAGAGTATTGTGATGATCTGATTCAAGCTCCTCTTCTCAAGGAGGCAAGTGGGGTTTTTACTCGAGAGCTCCTGGGTTCTAGTCCTGGTTCTGCCTTTGACTTGGGCAAGTCCCTTCCCTAATCCTCAGTTTCCTCATGGTGGCTTTGTAAATTGTACCGTGAAATTCAAACGGGAGGACCAATAATAATAATTACTTTTTTTTTCACAGCTGGGGAAACTGAGGCCACAGAGAGACGCCACTAGCCGAAGGTGCCCTGACCAAGTTGGAACTCAGGGCTACTGAGTCCAGCTCCCTCAACTGTGCCCTGTCCCATTACAAACAGCTATTCTCTTTCCCGTCTTTCCGCGCACAGTCTGACGTCACAGAAGAACCGTCCGGCCCCGCCCCTTCGGAAGCCCGCCTCCTCGCCAGCCCCGCCCCTCGCCGCTCGCCCTCGCGCGCGGCGCTCTGGCGCGTCCCCGCCGAGCCTCTCTTCCGGCCCCGCCCTTTCTGGCTGCCATGACAACGAGTCCCTGCCCCGCGCTCAGCTGCTACTCGGGCGGGACCCAGGCTGGACCGCGGGCCCCGGCCTGGGGGCCTCAGCTGCCACCGCCGCCACCACCTTGTCTCCTCCCCATCCCCTCCCCGCGCCGCGTCTGTCCGTCTCACTCGGGCCCGTGGCCGGGGTCCCTCCCCGCCGTCCCACCCCGCGCGGATGCCGAAGGTGAAGGCGCTGCAATGCGCTCTGGCGCTGGAGATCCGCTCTGTGAGTACCGGCCGCGCCCCACCCTCCGGACTCGACCCCGACGCCTCCTCACCTCCGATGGCCCCGAATCACCTCAAAACCTCTTCACCCTCCAGTCAGCCCCGGCAAACCTGAGCCTACGTCCCCTCGGCTGTCGCCTGCCCCAAACTGAGGAACGCCCTCCCACCCCGGCCGCGCAGGCCCGGACCCCACCCACGCCCCTCGCCTCACCCGCTGGACAGTTTGGGGGCTTTCAGATCACTGCAGAGTCCGTCTCCCGGCCCCCAGCTTTCCGTGAGCGCGGGACGGGGTGGGTGGGCGCTCCCTTTGAATTCCTCTTCCCTGCTTGTGCTGTCTTAGAGAGTGTCGCCGCCCCCGCCGCCCCAAGCCTGGGCGGGGGCATTTCCTCCTGAATCCCTCAGCGCAGGCCTTTCAGACCGACTCCCACGCCTCGCTTTAGTGAAGGGGCCTTATCCCCGGTCTGAAAGGTAGAATCCCACAGCCAGTAACCGAAGTGTCATCACTGTACACAGCACCTTCCCTTCCCGCCCAGGAAAAACCCAACGCCTCTGAAATCACTTCAGGCCCTCCGATCCCTAAACCCTCCCGGCTTTGAGAGGGATTCCCTTATCATTCTTCCAGTCTTTCTAAGAAAGCCCGTTAACTTTTAGAGGGGAACTCCTCATTCCCCAAAATTCCAGTCGCTTTCTGGACTTGCTAACGAGGATCCATCCCGCCAGCCTCCTGTGGAAATCCAGCCGAGGCAGAGAACCCCAGTGGTCCTCTCCATGCTAGGAGAAAACGCCATCCTGCCTTAATAATCTCAGAGGACCCTTCCAAGGGTTTGTGAACTCCTTCCCCTTCATTCTTAAGAGAACTTTCTCATTCCCTTCTTCAAACAAAAGCTCCAGCTTCTCTGTTTTAGGGGAGATTCCCCCAAGAGCCTTTCCACACCCCATTTTAGTCCTGCAGGCACAGACCTATAAGGAGTTCGGAAACAAAATTCCTCATTCTGTCTCTTTCCACTTCTTCTTCCACTTTAAGTCCTCTTATCTCGACTCAGTCTTCTCTTTGATCTCCTAGCGGAACTGGGGGGGACGTGGGTGCTTCAATATTCACCACTACCCCCTGGGTGCTGCAGCTAGGAGCCCTGAGTTTCCATCCTGCACACCCAGCAGGCCAGGCTTTTCTCTCCACTTAACCCACCTTTCCTGGCTCTCCTTCCTCACATTACAATGAGGCTGCTGCTGCATAGATCTTAAGCCTCCAGGGAAGTCACGAGTCTGTTTTAGGTCTTTTGTTAGGGCTTGAAGAAGGGAAACCTGGGTGGGGCAGAGTATGAGGCAGGGATAGTGGAGAAGAAAGTTTCTGGGACTCACCCCTTGTATTCAAGCTTGCGGAGATTTTACTCGGAAATTCTGTAGCCCTAACTTTGTATGTTTTCTTCCTAAAGCTGCCTTCTTGGCAACTTTTTGTAAAGTGTGATTAATATAGCAAAAGAATTCATGCAGCTCCCTAAACCCCTTGACTCTGGACAGTTAGTGAAACTCCTCCGGAGTTCAGCCTCAATAGACTTTGCTATTGGCTTCTTCTTTCCTTCTGTTAACCAATGAAGTTTAGGAGCCTGGGAATGCGGCTGCCTGACTGGCTGGCTGCCGCCGCTTCCTTTCTGTGGCCCATGCAAACTTGTAAGAGAAAGTGCTCTATTGTATCTGATGGCAACCTGAAGGAGTCAGAGAAATGCATCTTATTTCACACTTTCTCCTCAGTTGTATTGCAGAAAGTGAATGACTGTATAATTCACTGTATAGTGGAGCTTTGTTACTCATCAAAGCTAAAGAAAACTGTGCAGGTGGAAACTTTCTAATTTTTTTCCAACAAACATTTGAATTACTGAATTTTATAGTTCTAAGAAATCTTAGAAATCATTGAATTTAATCCCTTTTTACAGGTGAAAAAATTGAGACTTAGCATAAGCTTTTGCAATTGTTCAGAAGCTTTTTTTAGCATGGTTCTTTGTCTAGGATTGCACTATTTAGGGGTAGATCTGCAACAAGATCCTAAATTTTCCGACCAGCAAAATCCCCTTTCTAGTGGCTCTGGTGCTCAGAAGAAGCAAAAAAGACCACTAACAACCACACAAGTTAAATAAGCTTGATTAATTTGGCTTTGATTGAACAAAGGAAACATGTGACTAGATATTTTAATATTTTTCTGATTTTAGTTTTTTCTTTTTCTTTTTGCATGGTATAAAGGTCAAAACTAGATAAAATACCCAGAGATGTTTTGCATTCAAGCTTAACGCTATTTCCCACCTGTACTCATCTGCTATATGTAACCATAATTATTGATTGTAATGTAAACAGATATACACACAAACTCTCTCTCTCACACACACATCACATACCATATAATTTTTAACTTTCCTTCTTTTCTTACACAGTAGGTAGCATATTATATAAATTATCCTATACCTTGCTTTTCTTTTCATTTAGTACATTCTGAAGATCACTATATATCTATGAAAATTGGTGTCTTCTGTTCAACTTTTTAAATGAAAATTTTCAAACATACAAAGTAGTTGGAAGTATAGTTCAATGAATAACTGTATCCCATGACCTAAGTACATTAATTTGATTTATCTGTATGTATGTATACATTTATATATAAAATAAAATTTTTTTTGCTGAAAATTTAAATTGTTCACATGATGATATTCCACCACTAAGTACTTTAGCATGTATCACCTAAAAATAAGGATATTAGCCAGTCATGCTCCTATAGTCCCAGCTACTGTGGAGTTGAGGGAGGATGATTATTTGAGCCCAGACGTTTGATGTAATGCACTGTAATGCACTATGATCACATTTGTGAATAGCTACTGCACTCCATCCTGGGCAAAATAGCAAGAGCCTATATTTAAAAAATAAAAAAAAATAAGGATATTCTACATAACTACAATGCAGTTATCATACCTTAGATAATTGGTGATCATTTCTTAATATTTAGTCTATATTCAACTTTTCCTGCTTGTCCCACAGAGGACTTCTGGTAGTTAACTTTTTCAAACCAGAATCCAATCAAGATTTACAAGGTACATTTAATCATGTGATTGTTAGGTCTTTGTAGTCCATTTTAATATAGAACAGTTTTATTTTCTCATTCCCACAATGTTCCATTTTTTTTCCAATGGATTTTGATAAATTCATACACTCATGTCACCATTACCTGGATCAAGATTTAAAACGCCTCCATCACCCCATGACTTTCCCTTGTACCCCTTTCAAGCCCCATGCCAGAGGGAAGTCCTAGTCTGATTTCTATCACTATAACTAGTTTGCAGTACTTGAACTTCATATTGGAGCCATATAGTATATAATATTTGTCTGGCTTCTTTTGCTCAGCATGTTTTTGAGATTCATCTATGTTGTGTATATCAGTAGTTTGTTCCTTTAAATTATGGAGTAGTATTCTATTTTTATCCATTCTCTTTTTCAAATTGATGAATATTATGTATGTTTTCAGTGTACAAAGTAATGTTTTGATATGTATACATTGTGAAATGATTAAATCAAGCTAATTTACATTATTCATCACCTCACATACTTTTTTTGTGGTGAGAACATGTAAGATTTGTCATAGCAATTTTCAGGTATATAATACATTATTATTAACTATAGTAACCATGCTGTACAATACATATCCAGTTATTTGTTCTAACTGAAACTTTGTTTCCTTTAATCAACATCTCTCCATTCTTCCTGCACCACCCCCTATCGGCAACCACCATTCTACTCTCTACCTCTACAAGTTGTACTTTTTTAGATTCAGCATATAAATGAGATCATGCACTATTTGTCTTTCTGTTCCTGGCTTATTTCACTTAGCATAATGTTCTCCAGGTTCTTACATATTGTTGCAAAGGACAGGATTTCCTTCTTTTTGAAGACTGAATACTATTCCATTGTGTGTGTATATGTGCATCTGTCTACCTAACATGTATTTTCTTTATCCATTCATCCATTGATGGATACTTAGGTTGATTCCATATTTCAGCTATTATAGATAATGCTGCAATGAAAATGAGAGTGCAAATATCTCTTCCACACACTGATTTCACTTTCTTTGAATATATACCCAGAAGTGGGATTGCTGGATCATATGATAGTTCTATTTTTAACTCTTTGAGGAATCTCCATACTGTTTTCCATAATGGCTGCACAGATTTACGTTCCCACCAACAGTATACTTGGATTGCCTTTTCTCCACATTCTTGTCTTTCTGACAATAGCCATTCTAACATATGTGAGGTGATATTGTGGTTTTGATTTGTATTTCCTTGATGATTTGAGATGGGGAGGACCTTTTCATAAACTTGGCCATTTGTAAGTCTTCTTTTGAGATATGTCTATTTAGGTCCTTTGCCCATTTTTAAAATCAAGTTTTCTGTTTTCTCACTATTGAGTTGTTTGGGTTCTTATATATTTTGGATATTAATCTCTTATCGGATTTTCTCCCATTCCCTATGTTGTCTCTTTATTCTGTTGATTGTTTCCTCTGCTGTGCAGAAGCTTTTTAGTTTGATGCTATCTATTCTCTTACTGATGGTTATTTGTGTTGTTTCCAGGTTATGTTTGTCATAGATAATGCTACTATACACATGCATTCTTGTAAAATCTTTTTGTGGACATTACATTTTCTTTTTCTCTCCCGTGCTGCTGAGACCATGATGATGTGGACTACCTTTTGAAGAGACCAGACTCAGATGTAGAAAATATCCCATGTTGTATTATTACCTGGTTGTTATTTTTCTCCTCTGTGGTGACATTTGATTTGTTCCCAATTCCTATAAACTGCAAATTAGATGTTTTATCTCTACTTGGCTATTGAAAGTGTGGCATCTCATTCTTCTCTACTTCTTGCATGTTTATTTTTTGCTGCAGCCTTGTATCAGAGGTAATCTCATATGTGTAATACTGTGGTAATATGAGAGCAAAAACATAGTAAACATGAAAGGTTTGGATGTATGACATAACATTTTGTGTTGCCCCACAGAGCCATATGACTTGAGAGTAAATATATTGCTGGAAGGGAAGTGTGACTTTTCTCAATGAATCTTTGAAGAATGATAAGATATGCCAAGTAACTTGTTTTTAAAGAGCATCAAAAGAATTATGTTTTCCATCACTTACTGTTTCAATATATGAAATATCTTCGATATGAAGAAGTAGTATTGCTGCTTTATCTCTTTACCTTCTTTTTATTATTCCGTATTTCAATTTCCATGGTATTATTTGGGAAAATAGGAGCAAGAAATCGGAGACAAAGAATAAAGCCCAATACCTGGGCAATGAAACTGGGGATTTTCTTTACCTTAATAGAGTGAATAGGGTCTAGTTTTGGGTTGATTGTGTATAATTTCAACTTATTTCTTCCCTGTACTCACTTCTCCTCATTACCCCTGTACTCACTTCTCCTCATTACCTAGCTCAAATTAATGATAGCATTGTGACAAACAGATCTGGGTCCTTTTCAATCACTAGTCATCTGAACATTTGTTTATCTTCGTGATCTTTATCCAGGTTACTGTGGAGTGATGTGTTTCAGTGACAAGCCACAGTTGGTGGTAAATTTCTCTGGAATATAGACTTTTTAAATTTTTAACTATAAAATACTTCAAGGTTATAGGAAAAAAGTATACATATTTAATATAATTTTTTTTTTTTTTTTTTTTTGAGACAGAGTCTCACTTTGTTGCCCAGGCTAGAGTGAGTGCCCTGGCGTCAGCCTGGCTCACAGCAACCTCAATCTCCGGGGCTCAGCGATCCTACTGCCTCAGCCTCCCGAGTAGCTGGGACTACAGGCATGCGCCACCATGCCCAGCTAATTTTTTGTATATATATTTTTAGTTGGTCAATTAATTTATTTCTATTTTTGGTAGAGACGGGGTCTCGCTCAGGCTGGTTTCGAACTCCTGACCTTGAGCAATCCGCCCGCCTCGGCCTCCCAAAGTGCTAGGATTACAGGCGTGAGCCACCACGCCCAGCCTAATATAATTTTTTGTATGTTAATATAATTTTTGTATATACACACTGAATGCCTTCACCCCCCCATTTAGCAAATGATACATTTTATGTTTGCTGTCATTTTTGTTTCTGAGAAATACAATGTTACAGATGTATTTGAGGCCTCCTCTGTACCTCTTCCTGACGCCATTTTCCTCCTTACCTTCCTTAAGGTAGCCGATATCCTGAAGTTGTAGTGTATTCTTTTCATTCAGGTTTTTGTACTTCTATTACATATTTGTGTATGTGTATGTCTTACCTGTGCCATTGTTTTGTTATAAAATTTTACCCAAATATCATAATATTCAACTTTGTATGTATTCTTCTGCAGCCTGCTTTTTCTACTTCATTGTTTCTGAGATTTGTCAGTGTTGATTCTTGCATGTCTAGTTTATTTTCTTAATTATTATGTGATACTATATGTTTATATGGCAGTGATTTAATTTTTATTTCCCTATTGATGGACTTTTAAATACCATTTGCCACTTTTTATTGTTAAAAACAATGCTGCAATGAATATATTTTTAAATATCTCTTAGTGTCCACCTATCAGGTGTTCTCAAGGGTGGATATTGTGCCCTAGGGGGGCAGTTTAGACGTTTTTTTGTCTACCTTTGTATGTCATAGTGATTGGGAAGGGTCTTATGGTGTTAATGTCCAATATCATGCATGACTTCAATGTCTCATTGAATATATAGATTAAAAATTTTATAATTATTGAAGATTAATAACTTAACAATTAATAATAACAAACTTACTCTTTTTTATGTATAAACACAAAATCTTTTTAAAACAGGCTTTAAAATACAGTGAATTTTTCAGGAATAAAATTTCCATGTAAATTGAGGAAAGAGTGTATGTACTTTGCTTTTTGGAACTATGCTGTGAGTTTACTTTTTAAAAAAAATCATGGCACCATTGGCAGCACTGCTTGTGGTGTTTGAGTTGCCAATATGTGACACTATCATCCCACATTTGAAACTGTCCATTTCATAGATTCTGTGTATAGGTGCAAATATATCTTCCAGCTTAGTCCTGCCTGACTTCTTATATGTAGAAATACATATTTTATTTTACATTATCTCTGTATTTTTCTTTTTTATTTTAATTAGGACATTGGTTTATTTTTTAGTTATGTGTGTAGATGAGTTGCAAAATATTTGATGTAAAAGGAGGGTTTTGGATCTTATAGAATGGAGAACCAGTGCTCTAGGAATAGATCTAGAAATAGAACTACTGAGTCTTAGGTATGACATTACTTTGTCATACTCATTACCCTCCCCTTATACAGATACAAACCTACATATATGCATAAATACTATCTTATATTATGGTATTTTAATTAATTGCATTGGGATAATGTATTAGGGTACTC